AAATCCCATCCATCTCGCTAATCAAACCAGGTTTAACCACCAAAGGCTAGCGACATGGAACTCCACCGTACCGTGTTCAGACCAAGACTCAAGCTTCTCCATTCATATAAAGTGAAAATCATCTCGCCACATCGAAGAAATATTCAGTTTGGGTAGGCTAATCCCCAACCAGGCCTTACTCATCGTGTTCTCGAACAATGCATATCCGATATAAGTTCCGCGGCATACAGATGAGCTTTAAATGAACAATCCTACGCGCTTTCCACTACACTTCTTCAAAGAGGAGGTTTCCAGATACGAACCAATAGAAAAATTCTGAGTATAAAATGGATGGATAGCGCACAAGACCGAGAGACTCTCTGCAAAATCTTGTACTCTATAACTCGCAGGTTGTAGGTATACCACATGACATTCTTCAGAACTTGTTCACACTCTTGACGCGATATGACTCCGCAGGTTACGCACCACCAGAGGGCACTATACAGCGAGCATGCACCAAAGCACGTTATGTCAATTATGTCAGCTTGCCAAAGTCATTGATGGAGTTGCATAATCTTTCTAGGGAGGTGATACGACACTGTGATTCTACGTCATTCGCAGAAGGTGTTTTATGTGAGCTCAATACCATGCTTACAAGTGTACAAGGCGACAATATTGAGTATCTCTGGTTGATCATCATATTGAAGGTCGAAGGCACGCCTATGCAGAAAAGCGTGCTCTACTGCAGGAATTGGTCCGAATTTATTTTTCTTACATGCGTAATTCTCAGAATGCGTCTGCCAAGTCAGCAGATACATGATTTCTTCTCACAGTGAAACAGACTGTGCATCTCTTATATCAACAGAAATACTGATTTAATTCACACCATGCATTACCAAAATAACTACGAAGGGAATTTTAATGCCGAATAATTCGGAAAATTTAATGCCAGGCATGGTTCAGTTTTTCAGCGATTAGGAATTTATTACTTGGTATCGTCCCTCTAGTGGACCTCTTTTTCAAGCATCAATTTCGCAATCAGGTAACCATTCAGATGATTGGAATTCTGCATGGATTGCTTTCAAGAATGAAGCTTATCTGTGCCCTTACAAAGAAGGCGACAGAGAATTTGCAACGATAATGGTCGGGAAACTTTAGAAAACACCGCTCAATTACCTTAGATAATAAGACATTCAAGATCACAGTTAAACATTGCCGAAGAATCTACAAGAGAGGATGACCGTCTTTCTAGTATTTTTAAATATCAACGCAGAAGCCGATGTTTTGACAGGAAATCCAAGTTTACATACAATTGTCTCAGAAATGCTTGAAGTTGGCGGCGATTTACGTGAAGAAGCTAGAATGCTTTGCCTTGAAACAATGCTCAGAGGAAATGTCCCAGATTTTCCAAAATTTGTCCAACAAATTTGCTTCAATCATGGAATTCAGCAAGTTCCATACCTAATGAGACTTTGTGATTGCGGAATGCTTGACAAAGCGCTTGTTAAATGGTCCAATTTCGTAAAACCATTTAGATTATATAATCCAGACTTTGACAAGAACGGCGATGAAGCAGCCATGAGCTACTTAGGATACGCTCCTCTTTCAATAAGATACGTCGAAAGCATCGTTAAAAAAGATTTCCCATCTGTTCAAAAAGTAATCGGAGATTCCTTCGAAACATACCAAAGCGGAACACCACAAGAGAACGGAACATACATTGTTTTCTTTGTTGGCGGCTGCACGCACTCCGAACTTAACTCATTAAGAAGACTCGCGATCAAAGGACCGGCAAAGTTCTCTGTTTGCACAACAAACATGTTCTCCTCCAGAGAATTCTTCGAGTCCATCGGATTCGCAATTCCAGGATGGAAACCAATTCACTTATAAAATTTATATTAACAACAAAAAGAGAAATGTTTTCTTATACTAAAAATATTTCAGTTTTTATCTTCTCTCTCATTCAATATGGTTTTCTTCTTAAATAAAAGACTTTTGTACATATTTTTATTAAATATCTCATTTAAAAATCTTTATATTTCATTGAAAAGATAACCTTTTAAATAAACTTATATGATTACTTTATAACGAAAGCTTTAATCAAAATATTTTTTCAATATTTTTCATGTCAACACGATTTGTCTAAGTTATGAGTTTATTTTCAAATTTTACATCATTAGATCTTAATGGTTTTCACATTGTTCGAACCTAATTTAAAAATGAAATTCAATTACAATTAATATACACTTTATACTAACAAACAAATGAAATAGAATTAACCAGGAAAGATCAAAAATATATCTATGAATTGTTTGGCATTTTCAAATTTTTTTTCTTGTTATTAAACAATTTGACTTGATTGTAACGTCGATGCTAAGTAGATATTATCAATTAGGAGGCCAAAGGCAAATATACCTCCAATTATGGCCATCATGTCAATTATTATTTGATAAATTGGTCGATCAAGAACGTATTGAAGGATAAGGGGCGATATATCATAATTGATGAAAACACCAGGCAATTTATCGGATGATTCATCACGATATCTATCATAACTTGTTACAGAAAGACTGTATTGAGTATCATAATCGTTAAGAATACGTGTAGCTCTAATGTAATACATTGCTTTATATCTTCCGTATTCTTTTTGAACTTTCATATAATTTTGTAAAATTTGCGCAGGATGATAGCCTCCTCCCATCGAAAAGAAGTCAAATGAGTGTGTAAAGTTCAGATTTTCCTTAGGAACTCCTAAATAGTCTGCTGATGTATTAGTTGTGTTTTGGCCAATAGTAATGAAAAAACTGCCATGAGTATGAGGGACAGTCAGTGTAATGCCAAGAGTACAACTATCATTTATGAGTGAATCTGCATCAGAAAACGTATTCCTGCATTGTTGAATCATGGCCGTTGGAGGATGACTTTTTTCAATTTTTTGGAAAGCGTCTAATACTTCTTTACATGAATTGCAGCATCCATTTGATGCTCCATAGCATGATCCGCATTCTGTTGTTTTGATATTTGAAGCTCTTAAAAATTTTATCATCGATAATGGATCACTTTGATAATTTGTAGCTATTTTTGCTTCTTGCTGTATGTCTTTGTTATGATCGTATACATTTACAGTAAGGTATTGGCATGATAAACTTGGAAACGTGATTGATAAAGTAATTGGAAGAGTGGGGATCTTCTTCCAGTCTAATATTTTGTTATTTTCTGGTAGTCTTTTCATCAACGTATATTTTTTGCTTGAATGGTGTTTTAATAAAAATATAGATATCATAAATTAAAAATATCGCAATAAGAAAGATACAAATTAGAGAAACAATCCCACTGAATGTAGATTTCCTCGAATAATCGCCTGAAATTTTGGGAAAGATATCAAACTTCTTCATTAAATTTTACAAATAAAAAAAATGCTTGATTTATTCGGAAAACTCACAGTATTTAACTTGACTTAAAGCATCATTAAGATCTGACCATTTTATTTTGTCTAAAAAGAGAATTTGGAAAAAACCTGAATAAAAAATCAAATTATGGATATTTTTACTCAGAAATAGCTTTCATAAGCGACGGTAGTTTTGTTTTCTACTTCTCCTTAAATGATACGATTTTTTTTTCTCTTTGTTGAATTATCGTCGGAATAAACTTTTTTTATTTTTCTTTGTAAAGTTCGCAATTTCACCTCATAGTTGAAAAATATGTCGCTCAAATTCACTGTCATTTCGGCCAACAATGTGCCCATTGCAGACCTGAAGACTTCAGATCCATATGTCAAGCTTTACGTTGATGGACCGATTAAGGTTTATCTTTGCAAGACATCAACAATCAAAAGCAATCTAAATCCGAAGTGGAACGAAACATTCCTTATTAACACAGTTCGTGGAGCTCGTATTTATCTTGACGTTTACGATGAAAGTTTAGGCAATGATACTCAAATTGCACATACCGCTTTTGATCCTATGATTCATCCATTTGGAGCAGAAGTAAATATTCCTCTTATTCCAGATATTAACAAAGGTGGCGAAAACTGCAGTATTAAGGTCTTTGCTTCCTTCAAAGAAACAAATCCTCCACCAAATTCAACATCAACAGCATTTCAGAATCCACATTATATCACATTCGAACCAGATGAACCCGTTGTTCTTCGTCCACCACTGATTGAATCACGTGCAAACGCTTTGCCATATCCGATACCATTCCAACTATCAGCGATCTTATACAATAAAGGCGACAACTCCACCACGATCGTCGATGCAGATAATAGAAGCGAGAATGGCGTCAGCCACTCAGGACATCACCCAGTTTTGTCATTCAAAACATTTACGCAGTCAATACGTATTGATCCATCGCTCCTCATAAAGAAAGGCGTTTCTCAGATATTTATTGCAATCAATACTCAAGATATTACGACATTACAATCCTTATGCAAGAATGGCGGCTTCCTTACGATCTGGGATTCCTTTGAGAAAGGAAACAACTACAAGAAAGGCTCGCCGTATCGTTTCGATATCAAAACTCGTAAAAAAGAGGTTTTATTAACTCCTGTACAACGCATTAAAGTTAATTTCGAACCAAGCGCCGTATTTACAGTCGTTGCCAATGCTGTCGTATCTACCGCCGCAATCCGCTACAATCCAGGCTTTGTTTTCCTTCCAAATTCAAATGCTGACGGTTTTATCACTCCACAGTCTCCACATGCCGCCGTAAGACATGTTTTACAATACGAAGCAGGTGTAGCAGCTGCCCTGACCCAGTTACCACATTCTCTTCCAATATGCGCACCAACACCGTTAAGTACTGTTTTTACACAGTATTTCGGAATCACTAGTGCTCCGGAGCATTCAATTCTTCGCGTTAAAGTCACCGGAAACAAGGACCACCAGTTGTACATCGCTGCATTTCGAACAGATCTTTCAATTGCGGACTGCATCACAGATAAGAAGGCAAATCTCTGTGAGAACGCAATTGTTAATGTTCTTTCTCCAAATGTCTTCCTTGACAGAGTTCCTGATGACGTTTCCTTCATCTGTTTCTGCCTTTGCGGAGATAAACCATTGGCATACAACCAATCAAAGGAATTCCTCAAGGTAAAGATACCAACAAAAGAAGTTCCACAGCCACAGTGCGTTTTGGGATTGATGGGAGGAACAGATTCCAGAATTTCCCTGTTCCTGCTTCTAAAACAAGGACTTCTTTCATGTGGTTTATCTTGTTTAGAGAACCATTTGGAGGATGGGCATTCCTTTCTTTGAGATTGCCTGTCGAAGCAAGAAATGCGGCGGAATGCGTGGAATGCATGAAGAGAGTCATCGTAAAACTTAAGTAATTTTTAATATCTCTTCTTCATCTCTTTTTTATATTTTACTTTCTCTATATTTTTAATTTTTTTACTAAAAAAAATAAATTCAAAGTTATTTTAATACCTTTATAATGTTGAAATTAAACACAGAAGAATGTTAGACGACAGAAAACTTATACTAAACATGATTTTCTTCTTATCATTTTTGCTAATTGAGACTTCATGTACATTTGTATTTTGTGGTATTTGAATTTCATTTTTTCACGAAAACATATATGATAGCATTCAGTGTAATTATACAAGTTATACTCATATATCTATAGGTACATATTTCACTAGGATTTTTTAAATGAATCTTTTTAGATGAGGAGATAAAATCATTTAAACTATCATGTATTTTATGAAAACAATCAAAGCACATGTGATATTAATATGGAGTCTTGAACTCTTCTTACAATAATATTATTTACATAGATATGCAGAATAATGTAATGCTTGAAATTGATAGTATAGATTGTAATTAATTTTGTTTATTTTAATTTGATTTTTCTTTCAATGATATAATGACAATCTAAGAGGTAACTTTCTTAACTATTTCTAAGATAATAATTTTAAATTTGAATATCTTATTCATTAACATAATCAAATAGAAATATTCTCTAAAAACATATAATAACCTTGTTAACTATCATTCTTTTAAGACTTAACTATCAAATATTATTGGATGCGCATTAAACGATCAGAGAATTTAGGAATCAGAAGTTGGATTTCTGATCTTTTTTTTACGACTCTATTTATAATATCTCCTTCATAGAGACAAAACCTATCAATGAATTCGATATTAACATCCGTCACTTTATCGATGCTAACTTCATGAAATGAAATGAAACAATAAAAAATGTAAAGTCAAATTTTGAGAGTGAACATCGGCTATCATCTAAAAAGTGACAAAAATCTATTTTTTAATTTTTTCAACTTTGCAAGCTCAATTACCATGGACACAGATTTATTTGAAGTAGAGGACATGATATGGAGCTGTACAAATGAGAACATGGAAACTTGTCTTGAGAAAATTCAAAATTTTATTAATAAAAAACCAGGGAATGCAGATATAGTATATGATACTGCATTTCAAGCATCAATATATCGTCCCAAAATACTTTTGAACCTTTCCACGATCGTTCAACTTGCATTAGAAAAGAGAATTTATACCCATGAATCAAGTAAGACCCCATTGAACTCTATTCTTATTAAGCGCAATATTATCAAATCCAAAGATTCCCAAAACAAGACATTAGAAGAAATACTCGAGCTTTATCCCCCAAATTCAGTTCAACACGCACTTTTATGGGATAATGTCTCAGAAATCTCAGCAAAGATGATAGACAAATACATTAAATCCAAAGAATTAATTTCCCTGGACCCACTCTTCCAAGGTGTATTTTCCATTGTGAATGTAGCTGCTTATCTCGGTGCCGTGAACATTTTTAATTTATTGTTGACATATAAAGTTAAAGTTGACGATAGTACAGCGACGAATGCCATTTGTGGTGGGAATAATGACATCATAAATCAATGCAAAGATGTTATAGTATACAATGAAGATAAATTACATTACGCGATGATGCATTACAGAACAGAAATGGTTGATTTAATTTCCCAGAAAATTGGCAAAAAACCTTTATTAACTGATACAATCAGATACCACAATACGAAGCTGTTTTACGACTTGATACAAGAAGGTGCTGATGTCAATGCACATAATAGTGATGAAAAACCACCAATCATTCTTGCAGCAAGTGGGTACAATGAAGATATTGTTAGAGTACTTATAGAAAAAGGTGCCAATGTAAATGAAAGGACAAAAAATAATTTGACACCAATTTTCTTTGCAGCAAAGAATGGATGCACACCAATTTTCAAGTTGCTACTGGATGCTGGAGCAGATATTAATGCTATCGATACAAGTGGAAGAGATGTAATGCTTCCGGCAATTTCAAGTGTTAAATCAGAATTAATTTATTTTATTTTAGAAAACGGTTATGACATGTCAAGAAATCAATACCAAAATCTCAAATTACTGGTTATTAATGACCTCATTGACATTATGAAAGCATTTCTACAGAAAGGAGCTTACAAGAGATGGCACAAACATGATGGTTTGATGGAATGCATTTTGAGAAAACAAAACATCGAAATGTTTAAATTGGTAGCTGAATTTGGAGTCGGAATTCAAAGTTTTGATTCTTCAAAAATGAATTTACTGATGATGGCTGCTAGTTTAGGCAATATTGATGCCTGCAAGTACCTCTTAGATAACAATGTTGATGTAAATGCAATTGACTTAAGAGGAAAAACTGCACTTCATTTTGCGGTCAAATATCCCACAATCATCAAATTATTAATTTCAAAAGAGGCAAAAATTGATGCTAAATGCTCTTTCGGGTCTACTCCATTGATAGATGCTACAAAAATCAGTAATGCTCATTCTGTTCACATTCTTCTCAAAAATGGAGCTGATCCAAATATCAGAGACTCCTCTTCAAACTTTCCACTTTCTTACGCAATTATGTCTTATTCATTGGATGTTATGACCGAATTAGCAGCTTATAATCCAGACATACAACTAACAGATTCAACTGGAAGAAATGCTGCAAAAATTATACATCAAACGTGGACAAAAGAACTCGCAAGGCCTGTTTTAGATATATTAGAATCAATAAAGAAATAAAGTATTATTTTGTTATTTATTAAATCATATTATTCTTAGAACAAATTTTGGGAATCTACATTTTATAATTACTTTATCTTTAGTTTTAATATCGGCTTCACAAATGAAGGAATAGCCATTTGCTTTGCCGGATTTTTAGCATTGGAAAACATTTTTGAAAAAGAATCAGAAAAAATGTAATTTCAAAATTATTAGAAATGGTCGCAGACATATTCATTTAAAGGGATCAGAATTATCTCCACGCATGTAGCAATTGTCAAAAATCAGGATCTAATGCCTGAAGAATGTATTTGCATATGCCCCTGATTTTTAAGTAACTAGACCCTGATGTATTTATTAATTTTATAGAGAATGGAAGAATTTCAACTTGAAGAGTTATTGAAATGGATTGATGATATCCTCTATCATGGAAGAAAAAGAATCTTTCAAAGACTTCAGTGATGGCGTTTTAAGGCTGAAATTTTGCGCACATTTTTATCCGAAAGCAGTTGATCTATTTAATTATAATGAAGGACTAAAAGTTGACACTAAAATATATAATTGGAATACACTCAATGCAAAGGTATTACGAAAAATCAAATTTCCAATAGATAAAGGAACAATTACTGATATTGCAAATTGCAAGCAAGGAACAATCGAAAAAGTTCTTTGGGATTTCAAACACTTTGTTGAAAACAAGCAAGAAGAAGCTCAAAAACCATATTTCGACGATATTCAAACAGATCCTGATATTGAAGAGATAGAGAATGCATTGAAAGCAACAGATAGAAGCTTACTCGAAAATAAAATCAAAGAATGCGAAGAACAAGCTAAATATATTGAAGAATTACATTCAAAAATTAAAATTGTTAAAAACTTGATCAAGGAAAAGGATTTGTATCTATCTCAATTACACTCATCAGGTCTTATTAGATAAGATCAATGATTCCAAATTATATTTTTATAAATTTTTATATAAGATGTTTTTCATTATAAATATTATTGTTTGTTATTTTTATATCAGCTGGAGCTATTTGGAATCTACTTTGAAGAAAAATTAATGAAAATTAAACGAATAACAGTTTTTTTAGAATTAAAAACAATTTATAGAATGAAATAGAAGAACAACGCGACGAACCCCGCCAGAACATTATACCAATTAATCTTCTTTGGCGAGAAAATTACAATTAATATGGAAATAATCAAAGTTAATATGACAATAACGTAAGATTGATGTTTCCTCCATTGTCCTTCGAACAAACCTTCCTTAAATTCTGTGTTTGTAATCTTAGATTTAATGAAAAAGTAAACCATCTTGATATGACGAGCAACAGCAGCTTCAATGAACTCCCTATCCCATGTTTCCTTGATCCAGTCAAGAGAGTAAGCGTATCTGAACATTATATCCTTATCTGTTTTCTTGAAATAGAATTGAACAGGTATATGAAGAAATCCTTGAAGAGCTGAGCGCGAGTAAGACATGAATAATTCAAGGGTGAACGTATCTCCTGATTTCATAAGAGTATAAGTTGATTGAACGAGAACAGATTGGAAAAGAGGCTGCTTAAACTGGATTAAACGTGAAATACCATCTTTTGTCTTGTTCCATTTACCAATAACGACATCAGAACACTCACAGACCTTAAAGAATTCCGACCATAATTCTGAACTCTTAACAAGCTTCATAATATCAGCGATGTTACCTGGTATTTGCTCTTCGTATGTATGAGGAGCTCTCAGTAGTGTAAGCTTACGCATAACTTCGGTTTCATCACGATGAATAAGTCCGAATGATGGTTTTTCAGATTTAACTGCATCAGTAAGAAGAAGTACATAGGACCAAAATATATCTCTATCCTTCATTTGTGTAATCATGATCGTCTTTTCATTTTGAAGTTGTAATTGAACTCCTTTTTCCAAAGATCTACGAGTTGCTTGTGTCATTTTCAGAATACCTTGCCAGGGGATAAGCGCTAACCACATGTTTTTCGATGCTTTGGGTACAAACATCAGTTTACTATGAGTAAATTGGCACTCGCCCTGCACAGAGTTCTTTTCACCGAATATCGTGCAGGTAGTCTTGTAGATGACATTTTCATAATTTGTTTGATGAATTACATTCTTCTTAGTAAAATCAGCGAGTTCCGCAATTTCACTCATTAATTTTTTACAGTATTTTTTTTTGCTATTTCAATTTTTCAAATTTTTGAGAAGGCACTGTAAATGTTATCTTATATAATAATATATAACTTTCGAAAAAGATTATTTGTCAAAAAAGTGATGCAAATTCAAGTAAAGTCGAACATTATCAATTCAATCGCTTCCGAAAAGTTGATTTTGGATCTGGGAGATTATAAAACCATTCTATTCAAGTCATATATTACAATGCGTGCATATTTATCTTCTAATTTCTTGAAGGCTCGCATCCCAAAATTGACGAACGTAATAAATCAACTAAAGGTAGTACAACACATTAATATTAGAAAGGCAAATAGGTTCTGGATGAGTGATCTGTTATAAATAAGAAAGATTTTTGCAAAAAATCTAGAGAATGTATATCTATTTGATAATATATCATAAAAACACACATATATTCAATATCTCTTTCTATGGTGAGGATTTTGACATAGAATCATGTGCTTGAATTGAATGGTGAGATTTCAACTATTTTGATTGCAAAGATTAATGTGATATTTTGAAGTAATGCTAAACTGTTTAGTTAAAAGAAGATCTGAAGAGATTGTTAAAGAATTTTCACAAAATATCCCACGATAGGCCATCTCCAGAATTAAACAAGCTATCCATACAAATTTTATAACTACTGCCGGGATTAAATTAGAATCATATCATACCTTATTTCATTGGGATCAAATTAAGGGAAATGATATTGTACTGAATATAGATATGATATAGATCAAAGGAGTTATTATTCTTCTCAATTTATCCAATGAAATGGCCATTTTCAGATAAAATGACAGCCAAACATATTAAAATCCAGCCAAGATTCTTCGTTAAATACAATCTACATATAGTGCTAATGCACATTATCCATTAAAAATGGAACTTTAAATTGACATAATTTTGAGGCAATGAAATTTGAAAAATAAAAAATTTGATGTCTAATCACCCACCCGGCGCACCAGGATTCGTTCCTCCAAGAACAAACATTCCCCCACCAGTGAAACCCATCGTTCCACCGACCGGATTTGCTCCTCCAAACATTCCACAGATTAACAGACCTCAATCACCAGGTGCTGCACAGCCACCAGTCAACATTACTCCACCGAAAATAACACCAATCGTCGCCTCACCACCACCTGCAACACCAGCAGCTCCAGAGCCAGCTCCAGCTCCAGCAGTATCTACTCCTGCTGCTGCTCCACCAGTTTCAGCATCTCCACCACCACAACAGGTACCACCAAAGGCAGAAACTCCACCGCCTGCCGCCAAGACAGCTCCTTCTAGTTCTGCCAACTACAATGAACAACCATCATCTGATTCAAAGAAAGAAATTCCGCCACAAGCTGAGCTTAAATACAATCCTCCTCCAACACCAGAGGAGAATCCCGAAATTAAATCTCTCCCAGCCGAGAATTTCACAAATACTCAAATGTCAGGTGATGTTCCACATGACATTCTCGTTGAAATCGAGGTTCCACAGGTTACAGCACCACCAGAGGGCACACAGGGCACAAAGGTTATGAAATCTATCAACTCCATCATTGATCAGGCTAATGAAGGCGATTCTATCGTCATTCCAGAAGGTGTTTACGAGGAATCCCTTACAATTACAAAGAAAGTCCATCTCTTTGGTGAAGGAAACTGCAGAATTGTATCAGATGGTGCAAAGGATACAATTTCTATCAAGGCAGAAGGCGCAACATTCACAAATATCACATTCCTTCAGCACGAATCACAAGCCTCTCGTGCTCTCAACGCTAATGCTGGCTCTGTTTACTTCAAGAACTGCAATTTCTCTGCCAAGTTCATGTCAACAGCAAACTTAGTCGGCAATTCTCAGGCTACATTCGATGGCTGCACATTCGAAGGCCAGTCATCATCAATCGTTAACCTTGGCGGAAATTCCGTTTCACAGTTCCTTGGCTGCACATTCAAGGGTGCTGGAAACAACGGACTTATTGTTAAGGCTCGCGCTGCTACAACAATCAAGGATTCAAACTTCCAAGATATCCGTAAAGACGCCGTTCATCTTATTGACAACTGCTCTGCCGTTTTCAAGAGCGTTAAGGTCAACAACGTCGGTGCACATGGCTTCCTCATCTCATCAGAGTCAAAGCGCATTTCACTCATCGATTGCGAGATTACAGATTGCCGCGAAACAGGCATTTCCGCATTCCTTGCTTCCTCTCTTACACTCCACAGGAATACAATCAAGAAGGCAAGACATGCCTCGAAGTTTCTGATGGTTCTTCCATCTTAATGAAATCCAATCGTTTCATGGATACATACTCTGATGCCATGGTTATCTGCTTCTGCCATGCCAACGTTCTCTCACAGGAGGACACATTCTCTGGCATCGGAAACGGTCTTTGCGCCATGGAAAGATCAAGAGTCACTGTCCAAGGCGGCAAATTCGAGAACCTTGAAGGCACAGGAGCCATCGTATTCGGAAACGAAGCATTCCTTTCCATTTCTTCCTCCAACTTCAGGAACATCAAGTACAGCGGCTTGCAAGTCCATACAGGCGGCTCATTGACAGTCAACAGCTGCACAATGACAAACTGCACAGACAGTGGTTTGTTCGTTGATGGCGACTGCAACGCAAGAGTCGAAGGCCTCCAAGTAACAAACGGCCAGAAAGTTGGTGTTCTTGTCAGGAATTCCGGCGCATTCCTTAAGGAACTCGATCTCAAGTCCAACTACCAGTACGGTTTGTTGTTGAATAACGCAAGAAAGGTTGATTGCCAGCAGTCATCATTCTCACAGAACAGAGCTAGTGGCATCATCATTAAGAACTCTGAGAAGATCACATTCAACAACATCAATTCCTGCGAGAACAACTACCATGGTATTGAATTCCACAACTCATTTGTTTCTGTAAGAGGTGGTGAGATCAAATCAAACAAAGTCTGCGGCTTAGTCATCGCTGAGAAATCCGATGTTTCCGCAAACGATCTCACAATCTCTAACTCCGAATACGGTGTTCACATTACAGAAGCAACAGGAGATGTCCGTGGAACAACAATTTCCGATTGCAAGCTTGGTATTTACTCAACAAAGGCAATTGCTTCTGTCGCAACAACATCATTCAAGAAGTGCGAAATTGGCTTCTCAGTCACAGGAAAGGACTGCAAGTCTGGCGCAAAGAACTGCCAGTTCGAAGAGAACACAATCCATCTCCAGTGCGAGAAAGACTCAACATTGTTCGTTAAGGAGTGCGAACTCAAGAACTCTAAGTCTGTCGCCATCAAATCTTCTGAAGGATACAACTGTGAAATCACTGGATCTCATTTCTCAAATGGTACATGCGCTGTTTGGGCTGACACTAAATTACACGTTGTCAACAACACAATTGATGACTTCTCAGAGGTAGGCTTGTACATTTGCGGAGGAACTGGTGACATCATGAGCAACAAGATCACAAACAATGGCGGAGTCGGTATCGACGTAGTTAGCGGTGATCATAAGATTACAAAGAATGAAATCATCGGACATAAGTACTATGGTATCCACATAGATTTGGATGCTTCCCCTGCAGTTTCTAATAACACATTCTCTGATAACGAATTAGGAAATGTTAGCCGCGAATGATGACTTTCGCTATTTTATTTTATTTTTTTTAGTAAAAAAATTTCTAATTTAAATCTAACTATTTTGATTTAATCTACATAACCTTCATCCTCTTAGCAATAAATAGATTAAATATCTCAGACTCATTGCTTTAGTTTTTGATTGATCTTTGTATCACATTTTACTCTTAAACAAAACAGTGAATTATAAGAGTCATCAGTAATTAATTTAGTAATATTACCAATAAATACTGGGAATTAACAAAATCATATACAGAAATTCATAAAAATTTTCAACCATCAATTAATTAAGAGTTTTATATTCTCCATGATTTCTATGTGTGATATTTTGAACACTTTTGATATTTTTTTTAATTTAAATTTTGCCAATTTGCAACATTTATTTTCATACAAAATTTGAAGACAGGCCAGTAAACTATAAAATACTCGTATAAATTAACTATCAGATTTTACATCCTTCTCAACTTTTCAATGAGTTTTACAAGTCATTCAAAATGTTGATATTTAAAATAAAGTTTTGATTTTTTGATAAATTAGCTCAATAAGAGCGAGAATTCGAATAATCGAATTCTTGACAAATTTGAATTGAAAATCAATTTATGATTTTGCTGAATTTTTATTGTGTTCTAGGTTTTGGATTGAGTTATATGGGTGACATTCAAGAACTGTCAATCAGTAGTCCAAAAATTGTCCAAAGAACTGATTTTATTGGATACAGATATCGAGTTAAAAATATAAAAATTAAAAAAGATGTCAAACGCATCGAAAGTTATGCATTCCAAGGATTCACAAAACCAGAAACAATTTATATATCAGAATTCTTAGAATATTTCAGTAGCTCTGCAACATTGAATTGTGAAAACTTGCAATCCATCACAGTATCGCAAAATAACCCTAACTTTTATAATGATTCTGATATGAACTTGTATTCTAAGAACACAACAGTATTGATTAGAGTTATGCCAAAGAAAACAACCTCAGCTAAAATGCAAATTTTCACGATTCCTTCAACTGTAACTACTATTGAACAATTTGCCTTTGCAAATACAGATATGTTTGGTGTAAATTTCGAACGAACTTCAAATATTTCAACACTTGGAATTTTATCTTTTTCATTGAGTGGTCTTTATACAATTACGATTCCATCCACAGTAACATCGATACAGAATCAGTCATTTTATAAATGCCAAAAATTACAGAGCGTTATATTTGGAGAAAACACAAATACGCAAAAATATATCGGATATGAATCATTCTCATATACTTCAATTTCTGAATTTCTTTTTCCATATAATTGTATTGTTGATAATGATGTTTTTAGTCATTGTCAATCCTTGACTTTCATAGGAATCCTTGACTCATCCACTTCCATCTCAATCAACACATTCAGTGGATGTTTGAGCATCGAATCGATTTCATTAAATTCAAAAAAATATGTTATAGAAAATTCTTTTCTGTATAGCAATGATTTTACTGAATTATATTACATTATACAGCAACATAGTGGTATAGATTATTATAGGCGTTTGCCAAATATTAATAATATGTGTGAAACTGCATTTCTGAATCATAGCATAAATACACTTACTCGTGTAGATTCTATTCCAACGAACGGAAAATATTCGATTGTAAATGGAATAGTATATGATACTCGAAATAATTATGCCATTAGCTCTTTGAATGGAATAAGTAGGGTAACTATTAAACAAGGTACAGTGAAGATATGCAAAAGGTGCTTTTTTAATCAAAATATTCAAAGTTTTCAAATTCTTGATCATAATTCCTTAACGATGATAGAATCAGAAGCATTTTATGGATGTAAAATTAACTCAAGTTTGTATTTTAATGGTCAAGTTATGATAATCGAAAAATATACTTTTCAAAATTCTGAAATTAACTTAATAATAATTTCGGCTTCAGAAAAATTAGTTCTTATGGAATCGGCATTTGAAAGAGCAAACATCTCGAATTATATTTCAATTAATCATAATTTGAGTTACATTGGAAAATGTTGTTTTTATAATTCGACAATTACAAATATATACTTTTATAATGTCCAAAATATATCAGAAATTGAAGATGAGACATTTGCCAATTGCACAATTTCGTCAATCATTTTACCAACTTCAATAGAAAAAATCGGAATTTCTGCATTTGAAAATTGCCGCATTTTGCAATATATTACTCAATCTCAAACAAGACAAGATACTGCTTCAAAAAGTTCAATTTATTATGCATATATATCTCTGAATTATATCAGAAAATTTGAAGCATTTTCATTTAACAATTGCACATTAATATATAGTATTTTTATAGGTTATGTTAATGAAGTTGAGTTTATTGGTCCTGGAGCATTTTCTAACATATCTAGTTTGATAACAGTTTCAATTGGGAATACATCTGACAATGTCCTTAATAATGAAACATTCTATGAAATCAATCTCTCCCAATATTTCATATCTCCAAATAATAAATATTATTCATCATATTATGCATCAAATTATGCATGTATATATAATAAAAACTTTTCCATTCTGCTATGGAGTGTTCCATCGATTCCAATTCTTTATCTCAAAAGAGAAACCATAATAATTGCTGATTATGCATTTTACTTTAGACGATCACTCAGTAGTATAAGTTTTACTCAAGAAAATTCTCTAGAAATAATTGGAAATTACGCATTTTCATTTACAAGTATTACATCATTAGATTATTTGCATAATTTGAAATCAATTGGAGATTATGCATTTAATTCGTCTGGTCTGATGCATGTTACATTACCAACTAATCTAAAATATATTGGGAATATGAGTTTTGCATATATATCCGTATCAAATATATCAATTCCAGAAAATTGTGAATTTATTGGAGATGAAGCTTTTTCCCACAATAATTATTTAATCAATGCTACTTTCGAACATAACTTAATAATTTTGAATTTAAGTAAAGGATTATTTTCCTCATGCAAAAAACTCGAAAATGTATCTCTTCCAAAAGATTTAATATTTATTGGGGATGAAACTTTCAAAGAATGCCAACAATTGAAAATCATTTACATCCCTTCAACATGCAAAGCCATTGGACAAGGAACATTTGAAAGCAGTGGAATTCAAGAACTTGTTTTTGCCGAAAACTCCAATTTAGAATTAATTGATAGGAAAGGATTTTATCGATGTACCATATTAAATACTATTAATATTCCTGCAAAATGCAAATATTTAGAATTCCAATCATTTTATGGTTGCAGTATTCCTTCTATTATATTTGATAAAGGTTCAGAGTTGTTAACAATTGGAGACCAATCATTTTTCCAATCGAACTTAAGAAGTATTGCCATTCGATCATCATGTAATATGGTTGGGTCTCGAGCATTTTCGGCATTTACATTATATTCAATTGAGTTTGAACAAAATTCTCGAGTTCAGTCAATCGAAAATTTCACATTTTCCAATAGTATCATAGAAAAAATAAAAATACCATCTAGTTGTAAATAAGGTCGCCAAAAAAAGTGCGGAAATTAAAAACTTCAGTTTGAGTACTTTCTGAGAGTCTGTTTGTCAGAAAGTATACATTTGTAAACTTTCTGACACTAAAATTTTTTTGGTCCTTTCAAAGTTTTTGACAATGTCAAAAAGTATACATCGGGGCTCTCAATTTTCCTCTCAAACGGCGGTTTTTTAAAAACGCTCATTTTTTCATCGACCTTATATGTTGAAAAAAAAATCAACGTCGTTTATGCATTTATGTATTGCTTTCAATTAACTGAAGTTATTTTTGAGAGAGATTCAAATATTTCTTACATCGATTCTACAGCATTTGATATATGCCCAAAATTAGAAACATTTATGATACCAGACTCATTTCATACAATTTCAGGTGTACTGAGTAATATCCCCAAAACAATAAAAAAGATAATACTTCCTGGGACAACCATTGAGACAATTCCTCGACATTGTTTTATTCAATTTGTAAACCTTGAATCAATTGAGGCAAATGAATACACATATATAAAGAACACAGAATATTATGCTTTTTCGACTATTAAAAATCTTAAAACAGTGAATTTAAATTGTTCTGTTTATCTCAATGATTACTCATTTTATAACTGTCAAAACTTGCTGAATGTTTACATTAAAGAAATTAGGTATTTTGGTATTCTTTCTTTCAATAAATGTCCATCACTTAAAAATGTTACAATAATAGATTACAATGGAACAATCCCAGATTATTGTTTTGAATATTGCCAAAGATTAATTAATTTCAATTCAAATGTTGCTATAAAAATTGTTGGAAATTATTCATTCGCACATTGCAGTCTTTTGGAATTAGATTTATCATCATTGAAAACTGTAAATCACAGTGGATTTTTGAACTCAAGAATCATCAATTTTCCTGAAAATATTGAGTATATTGGCGAAAATATGCATTCAAGTCAGTTGCATTTTGTTCATCCAAATATTCATTTCTTCAAATAAATTGTCGAGATCATCCGTGCGCATTTACTGAAAACAAATGGCTCAAGGCAAGTTAACAATATATGATGAGAAGAAGATTTTAATTTGTTTGGAGTGTATTTTTCCTCGGGAATACCGATATTGTTCGGCATCTTTATCCAGGATCAAAATTTTATGGGGTAATAGTAACAAAAGGGAATAGTGGTATATCGAACTTTTTGACATTACCACCGTCGAACACTTTAGACACCAAACATCTTATGCAAAAGGTCTTGGCCTACAAAATTCCGTCTATTAAACGTCATTTAATTATTTTGTTGTTATAAAAATGATTATTATATGTTTACACTAATCCTTTATAATATGTTGATGTTTCCACTCATTTCTTTTGTTTGTGGTAGTCCATGATATAAGTAATACTATAATGATTAAATGAGCTTATATCGTTTATTTAGATTAAGTTCTAGATCATTTCTATTTTCTTATGTGCATGGATCGAAGTTTTATTCTTTCTATTGATTGATGATTATTCTCCTCACATATGATTATTTATATTTATATTAACTTAAATTTGGTAATGATTATATGGATATTATAGGTTTAGAAAAGTAAATAAGTAGTATTTAAAAATTATGTACTAGAGTAGTTTAAATAAACAATTCAAACATTATAAATAAAGATTGGTAATTGGAGGTTTCATCTTCATACAGAAATAGTATAAGTATAAACCAACAGCAGAAGCAAAAAGAATCGACATCAAACCAATATAAAACATATCCCAAAAAGCAGCGACAATTTTTGCATGAAATTAAGGCGTTGGACGTCTGGACATTGGGAGTGGCTATACATCATTACATCAACGGTAAATCAATTCAATGACCTGCGGAAGAGGGAATTCGTAATTAAGAACGCTTTTTAGTGGAAAAATTCCAGATTTTACTGGAAGAATAATCGTAAATGGCTTGAAAAACCAGCTTTGTAGGTTGGGCTTATCAGTAATTGGCTGGAAAGCCAAAGATACTGTTTAGCTAGCGTATCTTTCTCACAGTAAAGCTACAAACAAACTTAGGTCTTCAGAATGAAGCGCTTGCTTTCAGAGTTGTTGACTTTAATACTATTGCTTCATTCGTTATAACTGACGAAACAGATTCATGGAGTTTGAAATAGATGGAAAGAAAGCACGAAATAAGATTTCACAATAATGTAGATATAAGATGGAAACATTAGCTGGAGTGTTAAATGCGCTCATAAATACTACAATAAACAAGGAGAACGAAGAAAACTTAATGAATGTTAAACTTATTGCAGGAGTTTTGAAGTTCAGTTATGCGAAGGAGTTTAAGATAACACGAATGAGTCATAGAGTACAACTTCTTTTGGGTGCATACCATATGACATTTCCTTTGAAAAGTGTTGACAAAACGATTGAGATGAAATCTGTTCCATACGTATGTTATGGTAATTGTTTGTACATTGAGTCTAAAATAGCTAATGTCACAGGTATTTCAGGAGTTAATAGTAAAGGTTCAGTAGAATATAAGTCTTTCTGTTATGCAGTCAATTCAATGTTCATTCCAAACGTTCCTGTCATAGCAACTCATTTAGGTAAATGGGTTCGCATTAGTCCTCATAATTTGAAAGACATGCAATTCAGACTTGTTGACTTTCAAGGAGAGCCTGTAGAACTGAAGGCACCAGTGCGAATGACTGTTGAAGTTGACTTTTTAGAAAATATTAAATGCAACAGCTTACAAGAGAACTCAGAGCTAAAAATATAAAGTATGAATGTTATGTATTAGGTCATGAACTTTGGTTGTTGCTGTTTGATGAAACAAATGAGTTAGTTATGTCAGTCAAGAGAACAGAAAAATATTGTGTTAGTGAAAACTGCACCAAGTCAATAAGATTAGGTTTGCATTATGAAGATGAGTTCGATACTGTTGAAGAAGTTTTGGATAGATATTACAAATTGCTAACTTGAAATTTTTTTGACTGACGGCACAAAGCGCCAAGACCGAAGGTCCTGACTGCTTTAATTTACTAAAACATATTTCAAACAAAGCTTATAGTAAGTAGATAGTTTTGTATACTCGTTCGAATATTTATACTTAAACTCAACTCCTGTAGTTCCTGGTGTTTCAATGATGCGGATGTTACCTATTTTCATGAATAGTGGAGTTTGACCACAGCATTCGATTTCAGGGTCGAGATAGTCAATGACACATTGTTTCCCTGTTATTCGTGAGATAACATTTTCAAGGTCCTCCTTTGTTAGAATTATTTGGTTCTTGCTTATAAGATTTGTCAAAAGCTTCTTATCGTCTTTGAGTAAAATTGTTTGGTATAACTGAAGAAGGTAATGGTCTACGTTATCTGAAGGATTTGTTTGAACATTTGTGTAAGGGTTGTCGTTGGCTTCTCTTGAAAGAATTTGTCCAGTGGTGGATACTCTAACTTAACATCTGATGTAGCGTTAGCGTTTGAAGCTGAGTTTAAATTCACGGATTTCAGTTCTGGTTCTTTTTCTTTCAAACACTCTGAACTATAGTTCTTTATGACAATATTGTTTGTCGTTCGTGAGTCAACATTTGATGTTGGTTCAATTGGAACATTAACGGCACCAGCTAAGATGGATTTGCTTCTCATTTCATATAGAATAAAAACCTTTTATATGTATGAAATGAACAATATACTCGACAAGGGTTTGAATGTAAAGCTAACGAATGAAAATATTGTTGAATTCACTGAGACAGGTGCTGTGTATAAAGATGTAGAACTACTGAACAAAAGAGCTAAGGGAAGAAGCAGGAACATGAACAAAGGGTGGAAGCCTATAAAAATTTATGTCAATGATGGCTCAGGAGGTTCAAACATAAAGTATGCAGAAAGTTATAGAGTTTATGCTCTCAAAGGTGAAAAGCCTTCATTTAAGAACAGCTATTCTAACGCATATCCTCAAAAGCTAACGGATGGGGAAGTGGATGATATGAATGACAGCAAAAATATTAACAGAAATGGCGACAGAGATGCATGGAATTTGTTTACCATCAGTCAATTGAAGGTTAAACTTTAAAACAATGTTGGTCGTTTCCATGGAATATTTTTGACTTTAATGGTATTAGTCATGATATGAATCTCAAGGTATGAACGAGGAGAGATGAGAGACTTATATGCTTCCCAAATTTCTTCAAAAGGTAATGTTATACCTGACTGTTTCAAATGAGTTCAATATCATAGCGTGAGAAACCTTGAAAGATAATGAAGTCAGTTATGAGACGTTTTATGTTTAAAGCTAAAAACCTCCATGTTTGCATAAGTATTGCTACAGTTAAATGGTAATGTCTGACTTTAGTTATGATGTTAGCTAATGGTGAGTCTGGTTTTGACACTAAACCTTTTCCGGCGAAGTCGTCACAAACGAGCAGAGTGTTTGAAGGATATTTTTTGAAGGGGTATTTTGAAAGTTTTGACAGAATGTAGTTTGTCAGTCGTTTCATATCGTAAACTCCTGAGTACTGACGTAAGTGGTGTTTGTCAATAATTCTTTCCATCTCCTCAGAAGTCTTTTGCATTCCTGACTGTATAAATTCAACGATGGCATAATATTTCCTCTTACGTCGAATGTAACGTTGAAGAAATTCAATGAGTTCACTGTCTGGAACTTTAACGACAGAGGCTTGAACTTTTGACATAAATGTTTTCGCTGTTGAGTCCATAGAGTCTGAAGTTGCTGATATAATGATTTGGTCATAATATGAGTCATTTCCTAAACGTTCTGTTATGAGTATATGACGAATGAGGTTAAATGTCTTACCTGAACCCATCTTTCCACAATAGAAATACACACCATTTGAACAGAATTCATAATCTTTGCTGAAAGGAAGAATAAGAGAAGAGTTAAGTTTGTCTGTAGTTTCATTCATGTCTTCATCTACATCATGTATTAAATGCTTCATTTTATCTCCATTAAAAATGCAAGTCAGAAATATTCAGAACATAGCACCGAGTCTAACTGACAAGAGTATAAAGATATACTATGAACATGTTATGATGAAACCAACCAAAATTCAAGAAAGTCAGTATACTTATGAATATCCAAGACACTGGGTAGAGTATGTAGGAGGTGAGAAAGCTATTGAAATCAGACAGGTTCGAAGTATTCCAGCAGGAAGAACAATATTATTGAAGAACTTTAATGTTTTGAGATATAATGATGAAACAAAGAAGCAAGATAGTTTCCCTGTTGCTGTGTATGTGAACCTAGACACAGGAGATGACATGAAAGTTTTTAACACAAAGCTTCAAACGGTAGTGAGAGAACAACTGACTGCGGAAGGGCATCCATTACCTTCAGAAGTTACCATAGCATATAATTTTGAAACAAACTCAATAGATTTTAAAGTCATCTCTGCAAAGAAGTCAGGTTTTACATTTAATGAAGCAGATGTATATTCGAATGAAAACTTCAAAGCTATTGCATGGTTAGATAATGACGATTGCTTTAAGAAAATATTTAAATTCAGTGACTCAAAGATGTCAATAGATGACCTTCGTGGAATGTTACCATCGACGTTTACAGTTGAAGGCTCAGCAGGATTGCTTACAAGATTGTCAATTGGTGGCGTTTGGTCTCGTGAGAACATTGTTATAAAATCCAGTATAAGTGAATTTGCTGAAGAATCTATATTATGTCTTTCAAACTACATGTATTCGCCACCGAAGCATTATAGTATAACAAACTTTGTCAGTAAGTTTAACATAAGACTTGTCGAACCTTCTTCAATGAAAGATGTTGTGCTACCTAAAGATGGAAAGGATGGACTCATTATTGAGATGATTTTAATTGCATATTAAATGAGCTTGTTCTTGAAGGTCATTCATGATGAAATAACTGTTGTAGAAGATGTTAGCAATTGTTCAGATATTTTATTGAGAATAGATGAGATAAGAAAGAAGTTAGATAGACCGCAAAGCGGTGAGGGCGAAGCCCGTGAGAACGCTTATGTTTTCATTGACTTTCTCCAGTAACGAGAACTTTTATGAGATAATATTGAAGAGAGATGATTTTAATATGGTGTAAATGGTAGCTTGGGCAGCTTTAGGCGCAATGGGAACAAAAGCATTAGCATTTGGAGCAAAAGCACTTGGAGCTTATGACGCAGTAAATAAAATGAGTGGAGGAAGGGTTTCGAAGACATTAGATGCAAATAAAGGGAAGATTGGAGGCTGGGTTGCAAAGAAGTTAAGATTAAATAAAATAGGGCTCATAAATAAAGCATCCAATTTGGTTGCGACTGAGTCAGAAAATGCTTTAGGAAAGGACGATGAGTTTGCAAAACACGCAAAAGACTTTAATGACCAGATGAAAGGTAAAACAATGCATTTAAATAGAGTCGATGGAACTAAAGAAAATGTTTCTTCTCCACTAGTAGTTCTTCCATACGGACCTTATGGAATGTATGGAAACCCTTACGAAAGACCATTTGACCCATTGACTGGTGGAAGTAACTGGTATCATTACGGACGAAGAAGAAAGACAGTCAAGTTGGAGACAGACGTGAAGAAAGCAACTAAAAAGAAACCAAGGAAGAGAGTTATAAAGCAATGAATTCAACAGGGTAGAAATGAGGGTAGAAATGAGGTTAGATCTAACCTTCTACCCTAAATTTATTTTTGTGCTATGTTTTCATACGTGTGAGGGTGGTGATATCATTAATTTTTTATTTTATTTTTTATTTTATTTTTATATAAATGACGAAAACTATTGAGATAACAAACTACAACGGTCATGAGTTCAAGAATTTGTTCTTCGTTCCTCGTGAAAATACATTCTATCAGATACGAGGGAGAAAGGGTAAAGTTAGTTTGAGCGTTTATGACAACAAACATAATGGGAGATATATAAAAGCAATAGATACAAACGGTAAGCGTGTTTCATTAGCTTTGTCAAAACTTACTAACATTTATTTTGACAGTGACTTTGACTCTGACGATTGGAGTGACAGCAGCGATACTGAAGAATATGAACTATTGTGTGAAGCACAGCAATGGGAAGCGCTGCAATACTTTTGTAAATGAGAACATTAGTGGGAACGTTAGTGAGAACGTTTATTTTTCATTAGTGAAGTCGTTAGTGAAGTCATTAGTGAAGTCATTTATGTGTCAGATGGTTTTGTAAATATTTAAGGTTAAGTTGGGTAAGGTGGAACGCAGTGCCGCCGTACCCAAGTTAACCATACTAACTGACTTGACTCATAAATGTTTTGGCGGTTTTGTCCATTGTTCCTGATGTTGCAGAGATTACAATGGAGTCATAATAAGGAGTCTTTATAAACCTGTCCGTTATCATGATATGTCTAATGACACCATAAGTCTTTCCTGAACCCATCTTTCCACAGTAGAAATACACTCCGTTAGTACAAAAGGGATAATCATCAGAAAATGGCATAATTAATGCGTTGTTTAGTTCTTTGCTATTTTTTCTCGCTCCGTCATGTAAAATCTTATCAACTTGATTGATGACTTTTTCCATCCTTTACTTATGTATAAAATGTCTAAAAGCAACGGTTTATACTATGAACATGTCATGAATGATGGAGTCATCAAAGACAACTCAATAACATTTAAGCTACCACGTGATTTCATTGAATATCCAGCAAAGAAAGCCATTGAAATCAGAAAGATCAACATTCAATTACCTGAGTTTTTGATGTTATCAGTACCATTTTTTGAAGAAGATGGTACTGAAATAACTCCAACATTCTGTCATATCATGCCTGAATTAACACCAAAGGAAATAACTGATACATTTCTCTCTCATACTGATGAAAAGTATAAGAAATACTTTGAGATATTTTATAGCACCCAAGATACTTGTATGAAGTTCGTCAGGAAACCATTAGGTTATGGTGATGTAAAATTCCAGCATGGTATGTTTAGTACCCTTTTTGATAATTTCTTCGGTGATAATTCACATCAAGCTATTGACTTACTTAGTGAAATAAATAATTTAAAGGAGAAGGAAAGATACAAAATAACTGAAACAAGTTATGGAGAGTTATTGGAAAGTAATATTGACGCATTCATTGAAATTCGAAGATTATCAATCATCTCTTATTCAATGGATTCACATGGAATACATTCTAGATTATGATGAATATGATCAGTTCCATGAAGATGATGAGGAAATACCTGAAGGTACTAAACGACATGTAAGAGACTTAAAAACTTTGACCATTCGAATAGTCAACTACTTTATCTTTGAAAGACTTTATAATGACTATTACTTTAGTGAGTATCGTATCAGAAATCTTCCATTAGCTTTAGTGTTATTGCAACAAGCAATATAGCACATGATAATAAACAGTTTATTTGCAATGTTAATGAAGCTCTCATTCCTCCAAAGTATTATGACATATCTGGATATAAGATGATACTATAACATTTGAGTTCTTTAAGCGAAACAGTATTATAAGAGATAAAAAGATAGATAACCTCATTAAATCAGATCCATACATAATACCTAATACTGCACGCATTCAAGTTGAGATTATCATCATGGCTGGAACTAATGTACAAGAGAAGTAATATACTATATATTTTTATACTATATCATTCGCTCTATATAATGCATGATAATATAAATGATGGGATAATTTTGCCGGTTGACCCATTGTGACGGGACCGCGTGCTGGAGGCACACGGGCACGCACAATGTATTACTGTACTAGCAAAAAAATAGCCCAACTGTTTGTTGACTTCAAATAAGTACAGTTCTCTTTTTTTTCATTACTCGATAGATGAGTAAAAATAATTCATTTGAATATCATATTTGCTTCATTTTGAAAAAACCCAAAAGATGTAATTTCATTATAAGGAAAAATAAGATTAGATTTTAAATTCATTTCAAAAAATTAATTTGTCTTTCCAAGTGATATAAAACTTTTCTAAATGTTCAATTTTTTTGAATTTCATAAAATTGAATTTTGAATCAGTAATAAGTGGTAAATTGATTGCCTATCTATAAATATGTAAGATAAATACATTAAGTCGGCTGTGCGACTTTCCAATAGAAAATCTTAATTTCTTTTCATTCAAATTTTATGAAGCGATCTTGATACAATTGTTATACATAAGGTGTGAATGAAAAAGAAACTAAAATATCATATGCGACTTTTTGAATTTTCAATTCAAAAAGTCACACGGATATTTTTAATTTCATTTCTTTGAGAAAATAACACATATTGAATGATATATTATTTTGTTCAATATATAATCTTCACAAAAAGTAATAAAACCTATCGTCAAATGTTTGAATACTTTTTTTTCAAATTTTTTAATGCTAAGTCTCATAACCACCCTTGCTCATTCGTATACAGTAAGTTCCACAGGCTACGATTATATGAGCATATCAAGTTCAAATACCGACCTTAAATTCGATCTTAAAGCAAAATCAAGCGCTGATTATTACATCGCATTTGTGGAAGATCTATCATCTATATATATTGATGGCAAATATTTAAGTAATAGAGTCTACAAAATCTCTTACCCATCTGCAACGTATAAAATATCAAGCACATCTACATATAGGTTTCATTTTGGCATTTTCCTTCTCCCAAAAACATACGATTCTCTTGAATTCTGGATTGTTCCGGCTTCAGAAACATATACAATATCAAAATCTTCTTCTTCCAGTTACGATTATTATTTAGTTATTTTAGATTACACTGATTTTGATGTATCTGTCGAAAAATCTGATAGCAACTATGTTTATTATTCATATACTGGTGATATACCCGGTAGTCCTTTCGTTTCTGGCACACTTTATAACAAGAAGATAGTTACATTACTGTATAAGTATAAAGGATATTCAGCTTCCACATCTTATACTGTTACAGCAAATTCTTATAACTCTGCCTACAACTATAAATACTCCGACAATAGTGAATCACACCTTAATTTTAATAATGGAATTTCCATTAGCTCGCTTTCATCATCAAGTGGAAGCTCATCATCAGGTGGAAGTTCTACTTCTGGCTCATTTTCATATGGATCTAATTCAATGACAATTTCTTCCTCAACTACATACTCAATCCCTGAAGATACATTAATTGTTTTCACTAAATCTAAATCTATTGAAGGCAAAGCAGCTGTTGGATCAACAACTCTTGATATTCTTGGTTCATTAGATAGAAGAGCTATTTTATTTTCATCATCTGGCACGCTTACATTAACTTCAATAAGTAGTTCACAAACATGCAATTTTATTGCTTATAACTATTCAACTTTATCTTCATCCTGTAATTATGTAACAATACTTTCTGGTACAGCTAAATACAAATTACAAGATCCAGATGACAATAAATTATATTGCGTTGTATCTGCTTTCACAAGTGGTCGTGTTGATATTAAATCTGATAATCTTTATCATTTCTCTAAAGATGCATATGGTTCTAATGAATACAGTACGACACAATCAGACAAGAATGAGGATAATCCTATTATAACAGTTACATTTAACTCTTATTTTTTTATTGCTAGTACATCTAATGGCAAGATCGAATTTGATTTAAGAGGATCATCAAGTGACGACAATTATGCCATTGATGGATCTAGTTCAAAATACGATTTTTACAAGATTTCCTCTTCTTCTTACAGTAAGATGAATTCATATCGTGCTGTTGGAAAATCAAGTGTTAGTGGTGATGGTCTTCCAACATGGGCAATTGTTATTATTGTTATTGTTGTTATCATTATTGTCATTAGTATCATATGCACAATATGCTTCATCTGCTGTTGTTTCAGGATGTTGTTCATCTTCATCATCAACAACAATATCAAACAACCATCATGAAGATATCAAGTTGAAACTGTTCAAGAAGATCGCCCAACACCAGTTCAAACCAACACAGCTCTGCATCATACTATTCTCCTCCACCACCACAACTACTACAACAACAGCAGCAACAACAATCACAACCAAATTACATTCCACCTCCACCACACAACGTTCCTCCACAACAAGCAAATCCATACAATTCAGCAGCTGCACAACAACCTCAACCACCATCATCTGTTTATGTGCTCCTCCACAACAACCTGCTTATGGAGCTCCTCCACAACAATCTGTTTTTGGAGCTCTCCACAACAATCGGCAAACCCAAATTTTAGCTAAAAGTGACAGGGGAAAAAACGTTTAGTATTAAAAAAAAGACCGATGAGAGCTTCGTTCGAAATATAGAGGGAACTGAGAATGCGTAACCATTCTCAGGAATATTGGATGCTATTCCCGTTCCCTCTGTATGGAAAATTGAGGTTTTCAAAGGGAGTTAAAATAATATCAAATTTATACTAATTTACTTCAAAATACAAAAGTATTTGACAGCTAAAATTAGTTACTTTAGCAAGCCTATCAATACCCTTTTACGATTATTGCTACTTTTTCGAAATAAAAGTAAAAAAAATTTATACTAATTTACTTCAAAATACAAAAGTATTTGACAGCTAAAATTAGTTACTTTAGCAAGCCTATCAATACACTTTTACGATTATTGCTACTTTTTCGAAATAAATTATATTATCAAAAACCTTTTTTTTCTTAGTAAAAATAAACGAAATTTTTTACCTTATGAACTTTTGATGGAAATATGCAAATTTAAAATAATAAAGAAAGCCGCGAGCGAAGCGATCGGCTTAGTTCGAAGATTTTGATTCAAATCTTTGCTGATCTGTAATTCGCGGAAGCCGCGAGCGAATCGAGCGGCTTAGGTCTAAGATTTTGATTCAAATCTTTGCTTATATTCCTTAAATTCTTTATGAAACTCGCAACAGTTCCATAAAAAATTTTAAATTCTAAACTGTCGAAATTACTGATCGTAATCACACCCTTCACGGGTGTGTCACTTTTAGCTAAAATTACCCCTACTCCACAACAATCTGGACAATATATCGCTCCAGCGCCAGCACACAGCGTACAATTCTCCAGATACCAAAGAAGACTATGACAATCCATACTATAAATATACTATATTACATTATATTAAATAAAAATACCAATTTAGATTAATTTTTTAGGAATAATCATTTTTGGGGCATGATTATGGTTCCAATTTGACTGTATCAAAGTGCTAAAATGTTCTCTGAAGTAATTTATAAAAGGCATTTTTTCTTCTAAAGCAAAATCTTTTATCGTCCTACGTCCATTAGGATGGATTTTGTTCAAGCAATTTCTATTCTAGGAGATCAAAGTAACCCAAACCTACCTGAGGCAGATAGATTTCTTACAGAAGCTAAGACTCAACAGCCAGAGCTTTTCTTGAATAAACTTTGCGAAAATCATTTTAAATCCAGATCTACCTATTAGAATCAGAAAAAATACAATTAAGATGTCTACAAGTGTAGCTAGGATCAAAATCGAAGATGGCAAAATAGAATCAGTATCAATTTCAGGAATTTCACCAGAATCAATACAAAACTTTATTAGCGCTCTCGAATCACAGTTTTCTTCAACCGACGATAGCAATGAAGGCATAG